GCAGGATGTGGTAGGAATGGATACTCCCACCCAGGGACACTTGGTCACATCCTGGCTATCATGCACCCCTGACAAGTGGCAGTCAAGCAATATTCTCTCTCTCTCTCTCTCTCTCTCTCTCTCTCTCTCTCTCTCTCTCTCTCTCTCTCTCACACACACACACACACACACACACACACACACATACACACCCTTCTACCATTATGGTAGCTCTTCCTTGAGACAGAACCTAGCTTCTTCACTGCCCTTCTTTACACAATATGGTTTCTAGATCCCTCTCATCCTAGACTTCTTCTGCTTCCTCTTGTGACTCTTAATATTAACACCAGAATGCTATTAAAACATGTTGAATTAAACATTTCTGGAGCAGAATCCATTTCCTCCCTATGTATGTGTATTATGCAGCCTATAATTGTATTCACTATTTCACTTGTTTCTATGTTTGTTTTTAGGAACCACATCAGACTGTGAGCATATGTTGAATTAGTTTTCAAACAAAATCTCCAGGTCTTTTTCCCCATGAACATTAATTTGGCTTATTCAGTACATTTTTTTAGCCTCAATGAAATAATTTATATACTATAATGATAAATCTTATAAGTTTAGACTTGTTTAGAATTACCTAGATTATATAAATTTTTATCAATGTCAGTGTTGCATCTGTAGCAGAGGATGTTTGCTGACAACCAGAAATCTATTTTCTTCTTCTGGCTCCATGACCAGATTGCCTTTCCCAGCCTCCCTGTATTAAATACTACTATGAAAATTGTTTCTAGTCCACTGAATATGAGTGAAAATGTGTATATTAATTTAGAGAGTGTTTTAGTTCCATTTGTGCTGCTTAAACAAAAAAACTAAGTAATATATAAACAACAGAAATTTATTCTCTAGTAGTTCTGGAGGCTGGATGCCCAAGTTCAAGGTGTTGGCAGAGTCAGTGGTTAGTAATAACTATTCCCTGATTCCAAGATGCTACCTGGTTGCTGCATCCCACAGAGGGGTTGGATGCTGGGTCCTCACGTGGCAGAAAGCAAGAGGGCAGAAAGGCACAAACTCTGCTTCTTCACATAGTAGAAGGTGGAAGGACCAAAGGAACAAATGCTAGGTTCTCAATCTGTAGAAGAGATGAAAGGGCACTAATCCTATCCATGGGGGCTTCACCCTCAAGACATAGTCCTCTGCTAAAGGGGCCACCTCTTACTACCATCACATTGGCAATTAAGTTTCAACACATTGATTTTAAGGGAAACATTCAGACCACAGCAGGGAGCTTTAAGGCAGCAGCAGCCTATTCTTGACCATTTCTTTCCCTCCTGAGTCTTGAACCTGGACATGATGACAGTGTTAATGATACTGTTGACAAGAATTTATTGAATATGACAGAGCCATAGACAGGAGTTGGTCCCTTGAATCTGTGCAGAGAAGAGCTACCTTCTTCCCTAGAATACCTACCATGGAATTACACGAGCAAGAAATAAAATGTTTGTTAAGCCAATGAAGC